ACGCCTGCATCCGGTTCAGTAAGCAAAATAAACGGGGAGGGCGTATCAGAGGAAACACCCATCCGATATGTTGCGGGCTGCTTTTTGGGCCGTGGGGGGGCCGTGGCTAGGACGCCTTGGGGGCGGAGGAAGTTCGTCACGTCATGCATAAATGATTTCTGCAAGAGCCTTTGCCCCCTTTGGTTTGAATGTACCTGTGTACGAAAAAGTACAATGTAGCGATGAACGTTACTTAGAGGTATACGGGTTTGACTTCATTCGAAACATGTCTGCTTTTGTCTTCCATGTTTTTTTTTAAGGCGTTGACGTTCCTTTGATAGTTTGATCATCCCCTCTCTCATTTTTATTACATTTCATTTTTGTTATCCGAGTTGACGGAAATCGAAGAACTCTGTCGCTCCATGCTCTCGAAATAGTCGCCCCCGTTTATCGCTCGCGTGCAGCACTTTATCTCATTGTGTGCGCCCGTGCTGGCCCCGTCCCGGTTTAAAAAAATGAAAAATAAAATGAAAAAATGAAATAAATGAAAAGAGGCCCGTGTGCCAGTCACTCACTCACTCGAGGCGGCACCATTCGCTCCCGTATAGAGCAGCCCGTCGTCGCGCAGACAAACCCATCTCTCTCGCACACGTGCAATATTCCGCAATTCACGACGAGAAGCGGTTAGTTATCTCCGCCCGACACGCACCTGTGGTGTGCTGCTTTGTTGGCGGCAGATACGCGCCAACTCTCGAGCTACCTTTGCCTTTATCAGTACCCTCAGTACCATGAAATGTAAACCGTAGTAGTAACCGCGGTGGGTTTCAAGTATTTCGTCGATTACGGAAAGAAGGTAGTCGCAGCATGGCATTCGCAAAAGTGAAAGTCGTCTGGAGGACAAAAGCAGTCATCAATTGCAGTTCATTCTTCCTGCTTAAGCTGTTTCTTTACACATCTCATTGTCACACTGCAATTGCAATGGATTAATCCATTCGCTGCTTTCTTATTCATTCGACATTGTGCGCAATAAACTTTGCCAAAAGCGCGAGGTGGCAAGTAGTAGGCGGGTCTCCCAAACACCGTCGCGACTGCAGCTGAGCGCGAACGTCGCCAGGCCACGGTGGCGCCGGGCGTAGCGATACAACAGGTCGCTGCCAAGGGAGAAAGGGAGAGGGGAGGGTGGGGGAGCAGGGGGGCGACACGGCACGACCTCACGTTTGGTCTCCTTTAAATAAAGCAACGTCCCTCCCACTGCCAAGTAAACAAGCATGGCGACTAACAGGCCCGCGGACACTCCCCTACCTCTCGCCTAAATCCCTTGCTTTCCCATCCCCCCGCGGGGAGCAGGGAGGAGGGGGTGGCGAGAGAGAGGGGTGAGGGGGGAGGGGCGGAGAGCGGTCAAATAACTAACATATTCAAGGAGCAGCGTAATTTCGCTCTCCTTCCTCGGGGCCCGTCCCGCACAGCCCGACCGACCGCTCCCGCCGCTGCAACGTACAAGTTTTGCCGCGGGGGGAAAGGAAGGGTGCCCTTTGTTGGTCCGCATTCATTCGGCGCTATTTTATGCATGCAAAACGACTCACTTTGCGCTCTTGCCTTGCTCGGCAGGCCGGCGGCGGACCAGGATGGCCTGGAGACGGACCAGGAGTACGCCGAGCGGTGGATGTCCATCAGGATCATCTACTTCACCATCTTCCTCATGTCCCTCGGCTTCAGCATCGTCATCACCGGCGTCTGGCCTTACCTGCAGAAGGTAAGTCAACCACAGTCGTCTTCACACATTATTGTTAACGAGAAGGACGCTTCTCTTCAGCACTTGCACAGACGAGAGCATGTCATGTGGTTGCCGTTATTTTTTCCCCGGTGTCATTCGACTCCACCGTTTTGTCCTGCCGCAGCTTGACCCCGGCGCCAGCAAGGAGTACATGGGCTACGTCGTGGCCGCCAACCCGTTCGCCCAGATGCTGTTCTCGCCGCTCATCGGCTGGTGGGGCAACCGATCCGGCTCCATCCGCCAGCCGCTGCTCGCCACCCTGGTCGTGTTCACGGCCGCCTCGGCGCTCTTCTCCGCCCTGGAGGTGCTGCCGGTGGAGGCGCGCAAGCACACCATGCTGGCGTCCAGGTTCCTCGTCGGGGCGAGTGCTGGTTAGTAGTCGTCGTCACGACACTTCGCCGAGCTGCACTGAACGGTGACTTTGACGACCTCAATCGTAATCTTGAACGTTAAACGCGTGTTACAGCCAACATCGCCGCCTGCCGGTCGTACCTGTCCGCCGCCACCAGGCTCAAGGAGCGCACGGCCGCCGTCTCCATGGTGTCCCTAGCGCAGGTGCTCGGCTTCATCGTCGGTCCTGGTAAGCCCCGGGGGAAAAAGAATCTACTACAGTACTACGCTTGGACTCGGAGAATAGCAACGGCATTAAAAACATTACGACAGAGAAAGTCGTCGCGGCAACGGCATGGAACGCTGCAACAGGTTGCCGTGATCTAGCGCCTGGGAGGTAGGCAACGGTGAAACACGCGTGCGCGGCTGCCGCTCGGTTGCCTATCTCCCAGGCGCTAGACTCGACCCGGCGGGACTCGCTCAGGAGGCGCCTCAAATCCCACTCCCCTTGGAGCCACAGCGCGTCGCCGTCGCCCAACACAAAGGTCCCCAACCCACCACCACCACCACCACCCCCCAGCCCAGCGGGGAAAAATATTCGCATGGGCGGCGAGCCACTGTGGCGTCGGCGGCGGCGCCGAGAGCCGATTGTGCTGGTGTGCGTTTGTGTGTGCGGGCGAGCGAGTCGAGTGAGTGGGGAAAGGCGGGCTGGTCTGGTGGCGCGCTCGAGCGGCACGCCGGCCGAACTAAAGCGAGCTGCATCAGCCGCAGTCACACTGCATGGACGGGCCGGGCCGGGCACCAGGAGGCGAGCACGTCGAGGAGGTGGACGAGGTGAGCGGCCAGGGCTGCACCGGGGGCCCGTCCCGAAGCGACGAGCTGCCAGAGGCGAGCCCCGCCACCGGCCTCCCCGGCCCTTGCCCCCGGACCCGCCCCGCCGACCCGGCGGCCTTGGATGCAGGTCCCGCGCCCCGCGCCGCTGCACCCCGCGCCTCGCCGCGCCACGCCGCGCCACGCCCCGGCCGCGCGGTGCAGGTTCTTGCCCTCGCCCCCACCTCCACCGCTCGCACGAGATTACCTGTCCGGGGGGAGGAGGCGGGGAGGAGGCGCGGCGGCCGAGAGTCCGGCGCTGCAGGACGGTCCCCCGGGGTCCCCGACGCCGGGGGGATGGGTCGGGGATCGGTGAACGAACCGGGAGTGCATCTCTCGGGCGCGCTCGTGCTGCTCTGGTTGGCCGCCGCCGCCGTCGGACGGGGGGAGAGGAGAGCGAGAGGGGCGCGGGGGGCGGCTGCCGATGCATTTCTCTGTCCCCTTTCGTCCTGCTTTGTTCGCTTCCTCGTCCTGACATGCCTCGCTCACTCACTCAGATAACTGCCGCTCACCTCACATGCAGGCCGGCGGAGGAGGCCACCTCCTCGATGCAGCACGGCAGTATTCTCGCAGGCTATCTCCGCATGCAACTAACCGCGCTACGGCGTAGCCAAATTTAACTAGATTTGCCAGATGAATACTCAGACTTTGGATTAGCGACGATTTGTCCAGAGTTCATTCATCAAGTCCGAGCGAAAAAAAGAAGCTGGAATACGGGCGTGGCTGATTCAGCGGAGGGAGCGCGTGGGAGGAGTAATTAGAAACGCTGCCCAGAGAGCTGACCACGCAGGTCATGAGGTCAACGACCCTCTGACGCGCAGGTGCCCTTTTGACCCGCAGGCCTGCAGGCCGCCGTGACGGCGCTGGGCGAGAAGGGCGTGTCCCTGGGCGGCGGCCTCCGCCTCGACATGTACACGGCGGCGTCCTGGATCAACGTGCTCTTCGGCGTGGTCAACTTCGCCATGTTCCTGCCCGTGTTCTTCAAGGAGAAGCGGATCGCGGCGCGCGAGGCCATGCTCAAGCAGGGCGCCGACTCGGAGGAGGCCACCTGGCGGCAGGTCAAGCCCGCCTACTTCTCGGTCTGGACGCTGATCGTCGCCTTCTTCGTGCTCAGCTTCAACTTCGTCCTCCTCGAGACGTGAGTACCACTCACTTACTGCCTCTCCCTCTCTCACCTCCTTCACTCGCCCGCCAGCGTGGTGCGCCGTGCGCCTGGAGGGTAGGCCGCCCAACGGGCTCTGACGCGCCTTGTGCTGCCTTTGCCCGCAGGCTGGGCACACCGCTCACCATGGACCAGTTCGCGTGGACCAAGAAGGAGGCCCTTAAGTACATGGGCATCCTGATGGCCATCGGCGCCGTCATAGCCTGCGCCACTTTCATCGCCATCGTCCCGCTGTGCAAAAGGTCTGGACAAAGCTGCCGTAGCAAGTACTAACTTTTTAAAAAATGATCGTTGTTCAATTATTGTTTTTTGCATTTGTGTGTGTGTGTTGCTGTCGATAGGTTTGGAGAGCGGCGAGTACTTATCTGGGGAGGATTCTTCCTGATGGTGCTGGGGCGGGCGCTGTACATGCCCTGGGGGTCCGAGCCCGCGCTCCTCGCATCAGGTGAGTTTAGAGGTCTCGTAAGTCGAGTCGAGTGCACTTTGATGCACACGAGCACGAGCGCGCCAATCACCCTTCCGACGGCGGGGCGGGGGAGAGAGATTGACTCAAACTATACTGCCTGCTCGCTCCCACGGTTCCCTTTTCCGTTCTTCATTATATTGCTCTTCTTGGCTCTCGCCTCGCGCGCCGCGAAAACGCTTGTCGAGGCGCCGAGCCTCGGTGTGGCGTGGCGCGGCGTTGTTGCTGTGGTCGCACTTTACAGGGCTCTTTGTTCTTCTCGAAATAAAACTCGGAAGGGCCTTATTATCGGGGACGGGTCGACGGTTGGAGGGAGACGGGGGAAGGGGGAGAGAGAGGACTTCCCCATTCTGGGCGAAGAAAGCGCCGGTCCGTGTCCGTAATGGCGAAATGATTGCTTTGTCTTGTCGCCCCGCGCAGAGAACACGACGGTGACTTCGGACGACGGGCAGAGCGAGCAGGTGGGCTGCCCGCCCTCGCAAGAGTGGTGCGCCACCACGGCCTCCATGACCGTGCTACAGTTCATCCTGGGCTTCGTGGTCACGGCCATCGGCTACCCCATCGGCATCACGCTCATCCAGACCCTGTACTCCAAGATCCTCGGGCCGCGACCGCAGGTGAGTAATTTTTAAAAAGAGAAGCTGAAAATAAACTTTGCGAAAATTGTTTCACGTTTGTCAAAAACCTCAGTAACATTTTTTAAGATATTTTTTTTAACATAA